ATTAAAATTTTTACTACACTATAAAATCATTATTAACTTTAAAATTCTAATTAATTAAAATGTAGTTTAAAAAAAACATTATAATTTCATTATAAAAATTTATAATTATAATATTTTAAATGCCACAATATATTGAATATTTCATTATTGTCCATCAAGATGTTATTTACTATGTAATTTGATTTATTTTCTAAAATATTTTTATTCCTATAATTTTAATTTTTTCATAAGATTCTTAAATTATTACATAACTTAAACTCTTTTTTATTCAATCTATTATAATTTTAATTTTTAAATTAAAATTTTTACTACACTATAAAATCATTATTAACTTTAAAGTTCTAATTAATTAAAATGTAGTTTAAAAAAAACATTATAATTTCATTATAAAAATTTATAATTATAATATTTTAAATGCCACAATATATTGAATATTTCATTATTGTCCATCAAGATGTTATTTACTATGTAATTTGATTTATTTTCTAAAATATTTTTATTCCTATAAAAATTAATTAAAGTTAAACCAGATTGATGGACAAACAAATATTAGCCTCGGAAAATAAGGGAAAGGTGGAGGAAAGAAGAGGGAGTATGACTAGCGAAGGTAGTGACGATAAGCCAACTCGTCATCGTGATACCTCGCGGTCGCCGCTGAGAAGTAGTGCACAGCCAAAAGGCGAGAAAGGCGAGAAAACAAAAAAGGGTGGCGCAGTGTCCGATAAGGAGTTGAAAAGGCTCCTTAAGGAACAGAAGAAGGCGGAGCGCGAGAGAGGGAGGGAGAGATTAAGAATTGCTGAGGAGGAGGAGAGAAAGAAGAAGCAGAAGCGGAGTTCCAGCGGCGGCGGTGGACGGGACGACTCAGCGGTGCAGCAACGAATGGATGTGGAGGTAAGTGAGAGTGCGAGTGCAAGTGCGAGTATGAATGTGAGTGCGGACGCGAACGTTATGGATGCTATGGCGAAGGCTGGTAGTCTGATGAATGAAGTGAAAGAGCTGATGATGAGTAAGGAATGCGTGAATGTTGCTGATGATGTCCTGAATTGTGTATCGGGAATGGACATGATTATAAAAAAGCTTGCGCTTGAGAATGCGATGTTGCGTGGTAGATTGGATGAACGAGTGAAGATGAATGAATATGTAAATAAAGTGACTGAATGTGTTAGTGTGGTGTGTGATGTGGTTGAGAAGATGAATAGGAACGTGGAGAGTGTGAATGAAATGTGTGAAAATGCGAAAGTTGGTATGTCTGAAATGACGAGAAGCGATGCTCCAAAAAAGAGCTTTGCGCTAATCGTCCGAGGAGCGAATGAGGAGTTGAGCGCGAGAGAAGTGAGACGTCGTATGAATGAAGCGATTGTGGATGAAGTGGATGTAAGAGTGAAGCGTGTGAGACCAGCGAAAGAAGGAGTGATTGTGGAGGCGGCGACGGATCGGGACCGGGGAATCCTTGCGTCCTGTTCCAATTTCGGAGAGGCGGGACTACGGGTCGAAAGACCCAAGGTCATGGATCCCCGGGTCCTGATCTTCGACGTGCCGAACCGCATGGCTGCCCTCTAGGGGGCATAAAGCCACTTCGCCGGACTGCCCGGAGTACGTATGGAGATTAAATGTGCTGCGTGCAAGAGTCAATAATGGCTAGTGACGCAGCGCGAATTGGTATGAAGTTAGAGGTCCTGCAGTTAAACTGCAATGGTGCGTATGGGGCTATGATTGATATTAGTCAATATGTTATGGAGGAGCACATCCAAGTATGTCTCCTTCAGGAGCCTTATAATAATTTTGGCAGGGTTTGCGGTTTAACTGCGGGACCTAGGGTGTTTGCGAGTGTGTCTGGGAAAGCGTGTGTTGCTGTGTTTGATTCTGATTATGTATGTATGGTTATGAATGAAGTTGCTTTTGATGATGGTGTGTGTGTTTGGATTAAAGGTGCGATTGGTGAGGTGTATGTTGTGTCTTTTTACTGTAAGCCGAATGGTAAAATGGATGAATGTGTTGAATACTTGAATAGTGTGTTGCGAATGGTAGATGGTAAGCGTGTGTTGATTGGTATGGATGCGAATGCCGCCTCCGACCTTTGGCACAGTAAGGCCTTAGGTCGGAGTTGGCGAACTTTGAATAGGGGTGAAAGGTTGACTGATTGGATATTGTGGAGGGACGTGTCTGTGTTGAACGAGCCGTCGCCCATCTATTCATATAGTGGGCCGACTGGCCAGAGCGACATAGATGTGTCCCTCTACAAGGGAAGTGATTGCTTGTTTGAATGGGATGTTCTGGATGATATAGGTATGAGTGATCACAATGTGATAAGAATAAAAATGACTGTGAATGTGAGTGAGAATGAGACGCAAGTGATTGAGCTGAAAAAATGGAATGACAAGGAGTGTAATTGGAGTAAGTATGAGACCCTCATTGAGTCCTTTGCCTCTGGCTTCGGGTATAACTTGTACTCGGAGCTTGGAGCGGAGGATAAGATGAGGAAAATGTATGAATGGATTGAGGAAGCAAATGATGAGTGTATGAAAAGAGTACGTCGGCGTGAAAGGAATCGAGTATTATGGTGGAATGAAAGTTTAGAACAAAAGAGGAAGGATGTAAGAAGAATGAGAAAGAGTTACCAGAATGAAAGAAGAAGAACGGGTGATTTGGATAGGAGTAAATGGAATGAATGGAAGAATTGTGCGAGAGAGTATAAGAAAATGATGAAGGATGCAAAAGAGAATGATTGGCGTGAGTATGTGCGTAAGGAAGGTTCCAGGAATCCCTGGAACCATGTGTATAAGTTATGTATGGGTAAGCTTGATAGGTATGGTTTGGCTGGGTTGAAAAGGAATGGAAGGTTTACGAGAACATGGGTAGAGAGTGCGAATATGTTGATGAATGATTTCTTCCCACCAGTGGTTGGGGGTCCTGTCGACATTGAAGGTGACGATGGGGCGCCTGACCCCTTGGTTGGGGAGAATGTAATGAATGGATTTGGTGTGGATGAGCTTGAAAGTGCGGTGAGAAAGATGAAACTGGGGAAGGCACCAGGGTATGATGGGTTGACGAATGTGATGCTGAGGCATGTATACAATGCAGTGCCTCAGTTTATGAAAGGTTTGTATGATTCTTGTTTGAATGAGGGTGTCTTTCCCAAGGAGTGGAAGAAAGCTAGAGTGGTTGCGTTATTAAAGGGTGCAAGCAAGCCAAGATCGGACCCGGACTCTTATAGACCTATCAGTCTCTTAAGTGGTCTGGGTAAGATCTTGGAGCGAATGATGGTTGAGCGATTGTTAAGATGTATGGATGGAAAATGGAATGAGTGTCAGTATGGTTTTATGAAAGGTAGGAGTACAGAGGATGCATGGCTGAAATTGAAAGAGATAGTGAATGGATCTAGAAGTAAGTATGTGATTGGTATATTTGTGGATTTTAAGGGTGCGTTTAGTCATGTGTTGTGGGATGTTGTGTTGGAGAAATTGAGAAGTGAAGCTGGTTGTACGAATGAGGATTTGAATATGTGGAAAAGTTACTTTAATGAGCGAATGGCTAGTATGACAAATGGAATAGATGAGGTTGTGAGAATGGCTGAGCGAGGTTGCCCACAGGGATCTGTCTGCGGACCCTCTGTGTGGAATCTCGGTATGAATGAACTGTTGAATCTGTTGAATGAATTGGGAGTGAAAGTGATAGCGTTTGCGGATGATTTGGTTGTGATTGTGGAGGGTGATACAAGAAATGCAGTGGAAGGTAGAGCGAGTGTTGTTATGGTGCCAGTGTATGAATGGGGAAAGAAAATAGGCGTGGATGTGAATGATAGGAAGACGGTGTGTATGGTTTTGAAAGGTGGACTGCAAATGATGAACAGACGTGTGTATGTGGAATTAAATGAGGATGATGTAAGAATGTTAAAGTTTGTTGAGAGTTTTGAATATTTGGGTGTGCTAGTAAGTGTAGATATGAAATATAGAAAGCATGTGAAACGAATGAGACAGAAAGTGAATGGTGTTATGGGTATGTTGCGTAGAGTGTTAAGGAAAGATTGGGGTTTGAAAAGGTGTGTGATGAAAACTGTTATGAATGCGATGATGGTGCCTGCGATTATGTATTGTGCGATTGTTTGGTATGAATTGTTAACGTTGGGTGGTGTACGTGATGAGTTGAATAGATGTCAGCGTGTTTGTTTGTATGCGTGTACTCGAGTGTGTCGGACTGTCTCCACGGTGGCGATGCAGGTTATTTATGGATCGCTTCCGTGGGACATTGAATGTAAGAGAAGAGCGAATTGGTATAAGGTGAGAAAGAGTGTTGCAATGAATGAGATTGATCTAGTGGCTGATAATGAAATGAATGAAGATATGGATGAGACTGAGAGGAAGGAATTAGTGACTGAGAAAGCAAATGATGTGTGGCAGGAAAGATGGAATGATTGTACGAAAGGAAGAGTTACGTATGAATGGATAAGAGATGTTAGGTTTGTTGGTAAATGCAAGGGGTTTGATCCAGGTCTGAAGGTAAGCTACTTACTGACGGGACACGGGAGTCTTAACGCCTTTCTTCACTCGAGGAATTTGGCGGACTCCCCGTCCTGTCCGTGTGGCTTTGCGAATGAGGATTGGATACATGTGCTGTGTGATTGCGATATGTATGCGAGATTTAGAGATTTGGAGGGTATGAATGTAACTGGAAGACCTGGAGAATGGAGTGTGAGTGATGTTTTAAGTAAGAAAGAATTTTATGACTGTCTGTGTGAATTTGCGGAGCGTGCGTTTAAGATGAGAGCTTGGGTAATTGCGAACGAGTAAGTATGAATGTGAAAGTGTGAATGATTAATGTATGATTGTGTACAAGTGGTGTTGTCCCGTCTGCTGCGACCGAAGACAGAATTGCCGAAGAGGACTGTTTCTCTACTTGCCCGCCGGTGCAGGGAATGGTGAGATTCCCAACCGGTACTCATACCAGAGTATAAACGGTACCACGGGGACCGGATGCCCGGGAGACCTTTAGTCTCCTACCGG